CGAGAACCAACTTAACATTGTAGTTGAAAAAAAAACATGTTCAGACTACATTTCTTATTAATTTTCCTGTTATCTCTATTATTTTTTTCAAAATTTTAGGTTCAGTAGTTTCGTAGAAATATGGAAGAGAGAATCGTTAATTTTCACCTATTTTCTTAAAAATCGTTAAAACTATTTTAAAATTATAAAATAATTGTATATAATTGAGACCCTTACAACAAGTCCTTTCATTTGATATGTCACACACTACAGTTTGCAAATTATTAATTTCCTATTGGTCCCTCAAAAATGACCCCCATGTTCAAAATTAATTTATTTACGTTATACGTCCATGTTTGGGCCACAGAAATTCATACGTGTACTAAATTTCAACTTAATCGCTCCAGTACATTCGAAGCCAATTGACCGTAACAGACACACGAATGATCCTATAATGGTTTCGTTTTTAATTCGTACGTATAGAACCCTAAAAACGTCAGGGAAAGTTGGGCAAAGGTGTTCTCTTGCACCAGGATAACGCACCAAGTCAAACGCGATATAGGGCTTCTAGTTAGTTGATCATTCGCCCTATTAGCCAGATTTGGCCCCTAACGACTGATTATCGACTGTTTTCAAAACTAAAAGTATCTTTGTGTGGTAAGCGGTTTTTGTCAGAATATGAGATGATATGTACGGTAAATCAGTAGTTTTCAGAGACTGAAGATCTATGGTAAAAAAGTGTTGACCTAAATGGACACTATGTAAGAAAATAAATATAAAGTATTCGTAAATTTATTATTATAAATAGGTCAAGGGCAGAGCAAAAGGGCCAGCCCTTGTACTTATAATATAATGGTATGAATCAATTGATTTGATTTTATCTTTTCATTTTTTTTTGAACAAACAGTAGAATTAAAAATTTCATAAAAAAGTACCTCTCTGTCTAACGGTTTGACAACGGTAACATCCCCGGTATCCCTATTGACCTTGAGCCTGTCGGTACCATGAAGGCCATAATGGACTGGACTCTCCTCCGGATCAGTACCTTCCAGTTTGTAAACGACGGTTCCCACAAGGGTTCGTTCGGATAATACCAGATTGTTCATGTCGAGTGAAAAGGCAGGGGGTAAGTTGGTGGCCCATGCTGAAAAAAACAATTATTTCTTACTATGTTACTAGACAACCTTTAAACAAATCAAAATGGCACAAAAACAAAAATGGCATTGAAGATGTTTGGAAGATAGTTAGCTCAGTCGAAACGGTGCAATAAAATGTTACTACACACTCTAAAACGTTTACGATTGCTATAAATTACAATTGCTTTCGTTGCTGTTATCTACACTCGGAATTTTCTATTTCCGACGTTGTACGTAAGTTAACTGTATATGTAACTGGCATTTTCTTCGGGTTTTATATTCCTTTTCACAATTTTCTTTACTCAACTACGTACACAGTACAGTTCGTGACGTATCATTCGGTAGTAAAAAAGTGGGGTTGAAACTAATTGAAGAAGCCAATAGTAAAAGAAATACGAACTGACGTTTTACGAAAATTAGTTACTGTACTGGATTTAATCCTTTAATTCGTTCAAAATTAATTAAAATTTTTACGATAACAGAGTCAGTTACTATATCCATTGGTTTTATTACGTATGCATGTATGTAAATAAAGTGCCCTACCCGCCCTTAAGTGGCGTTTGCGTTATACAGAGAGCTTTTGCGATAAGAAGCACGCTTTGAAGAGTGTTAACTAGATGCTATAGGGAATCACATGGCGAGTAAAGCAGCGTTATTAAGGGACAAAAACATTTGTAAGAAAATCAGACGAAGTTGCAATCCAAAGCCGGCCCTGGACGTGAATTGGCACATAATAATCTGTAGACGCCCATTACGATAACAATTGATTAAGCAACTATTTTTTTCATCGCTGATAGTATGCAGGACCATTTAAAGTACTTACACCTCTATATGGTATTAAGAACACAAAATACAACAATAAATACTCGTACAACACGGATGCTACAGCTGTTGAATGCACGTTGCGGTGTCGATCCTACCAGGACCGGACTAGCCTTTGAGACTGTACTTCCAAATACGTTTTTACCGAAAACGGTGGACTCTTGTACCACTAAACGTTTACTTATTTTTTTTTTGTTTTATAGCGCCTTATCACCTCCTGCAAGCTTACTACTTATTTAAAAAAACGCCCTGTATAATGGTTAGAGAGAGTTTAAGTACACTGTATATTCCCGATCTACCAATGGGCGTTTTTCTCTCATGAGAGGCGGAAATGCGATTTCCGAAAACAATTGAAATAAACCATAATTTATTTAATTGGTCCGCTCATTTACAATGCAGTTTATTATTCGCATAACTGGATTTCTTATTGCCGTAATTATAAATCTCCGATGGCATACCCCGATAAAGTCGTAAAAGAAGAATGTATTCTGTTCCGTTAAAATACAATTGTAATTGTTATTGATTTTTTTAAATTCCTTTACGGTTATTTTACAACGGATGCAAATCTGGGTTATGCGTCGGCGATGAGGGGATTCAAATGGGTCAATCGACTCTGCCGTCGAAAAATTGGAATTATATTAAGGGTTGGGTACATGCTGGCTAGGAGAGGATTAAAAAATATTATTTTATATAAAATCGTTACTAGTCTTCTTATAGATCGTTAATGTACTTTGAACTTTTAATAGAAAAATATTTAGTTGTCTGCAAAATGGTTTTGTTAAAGTATTTAAATACAAAATGCAAATACGTTTTTGATTTATTTCAAATGTAAAATACAAAATAGATTTCCCTTTTGTATTTTAAATGCAAAATACTTATTTTCAAAATACTTTTTTGTAGTACCTATTTAATTTTCTACATTTACTTACGACGCGCTGATGAGATCCAAAAAGATCGAAATCGCNTTCTACATTCACTTAAGTGTAAAATATTTTTTAAGAAAACCTTGCAGGCATTTTCTCATTTTTTAAACATTGGAGTTTTTCTAGACTAATAGTGGTGTTTGCATTTTATCACCAGCAGCGAAGATTGAGTATGATTCATATTTTTCTGTTTGAAGTGATTGAGATATAGTTTTTCTATCTTTATGTTATACTTTCTTCAATTCAGCAACAAATAATCCTTCTACATGCTTCCTTATTTACCTTTGTCACCCGTTTTAATTGAAAAAAAGACACTAATGCCAAAATAGTTTGTTTACCGTGAAAGATCAGAGCCAAAATCAACATCAGTCATTTTATATCAAAATATTTACAACCCCATTTTGATTCCGATCTTTAACACATTGTAATAAGACAAAAAAATGGAATCCATAGTTTCTTAAGCTTTGGGTTCATCTAATAAGTAATATTTTTCGAATAGTCTTCTAAGAATTTTGAACTATAGGCATTAATTAGCACACCACAATTTCTTGTAGTTTTTAGTTTTACACAGTTGACGTATATCAATTCGGTATTGTTTTGTATGCTGTTTTGTCGTAATTCATAGAATTTCGTAGTTTCTTGCTAAAGGTATGATAAGTGGTAATTTGGCAGGTGCTGATATCAATTTGGAACTTCAAAATATGAAGGAGCATGACATTGAACCCGGAAAACAATATCGATCCATTATTTTAGATTATCCATTTCCAAGGAGTTTAGAATTTTTTGGGCTCTCTTCAGTTGAAGAATTGGAAGGCATTCATGGAATGTCTCTTTGTCCCCTTCTAACACCTTCAATCGCAAATGTGAGCAACTTTCATTCATCATTTTATATAATGTTTGATCGGTGATACTAGCAAAACTTTTTTGGAAAGGTTTTTAAATAAAACACGGAATGCTTTTCTCAAAATTTGTATTTTAAATACAAGTATTTTAAATAAATCACCTCTCTGAATTTTACAATGTAAGGTTCAACTAATTTTTTAAAATATTGTATTACTTTTTTATTTTTTGTACAGTGAAATTTCAGTTGAGCTTTTAATTGTAAAGTTTAAATTAAGATCGGTAGAATTGCAATTAGGATAAAACACCTCGATCTAAAATGAAGGAAAACAGATTGCGATTGGATTAAATCATTAGGTACACATTCAAATCCATACGAGTATAGGTACGCCAGCCTCATTGTGGTTGTTACTGTTTGCAGTACAATACGTATTATGTGTAGCACATGTACTCTTGACATAACGACAAATGTTGACAGGACTTGTTCATGTGTAAAGTACAAACTCAACATGTAACGTGTTCGTTTGCCAAACGATTCGAATTTTCTTCATTCAGTTGAGATTCGCATAGATATACGAAAGCTTTTAAACCCAATACAACATTAAAATATACTCATAAATAGAAAATACCACAAATGCCATCTGTAGTACGATGCTACATTTTAGGATTACGTATGCACCAAAAGTTGATCTGTGTTCTGTCGGGCTGCCTGCGACGCGCTGATGATATCCAAAAAGATCGAAATCGAGATCCGCGTCTAGCAGTTTCGACAGAATACAGACCACTTCGAATTATTTTATTCGATTATGGTAACGTGCCTAACACGTTGAGGTTAGCTACGCCGGGATTCGTTTCAGCAAGTAGATATCCATGTATTTAAATGGACCTTATTGGAGCATACGTAAATTCTAAAATTTAGCATCGTACTACAGATGGCGTTTACCGCGCCATTTGTGGTATTTTCTAAAACGCGCTGTTAAGACAGCAGGTAAAAGTTGGTCTGTGTTCTGTCGGAGCTGTCTGCGACGCGCTGATGAGATCCAAAAAGATCGAAATCGCGATCCGCGTCTGGCAGTTTCGACAGAATACAGACCACTTCGAATTATTTTATTCGATTAAGCTAACGTGCCTATCACGTTGAGGTTGGCTACGCCGGGATTCGTTTTCACCAAGTAGATATCCACACAAGTGGACCTTGTTGGAGCAAACGTAATCCTAAAATGTAGCATCGTGCTACAGATGGCGTTTACGGCCCATTTGTGGTATTATCTAAAACGCGCTGTTCAGACAGCAGGTAAAAGTTGGTCTGTGTTCTGTCGGAGCTGTTTGCGACGCGCTGATGAGATCCAAAAAGATCGAAATCGCGATCCACGTCTGGCAGTTTCGACAGAATACAGACCACTTCGAATTATTTTATTTATTATAGCCATTGTATTGTTGGGAAAGACAAATCCTATACATATGCACCCTCTTTTGCTTTCAACTGGAATGTTATAAACAGACTATCTTTCTATCAACGTATCGACCCTTTATTATGCGTTAAAATTTATTATTTCCCGTGCTGTTCATTTGTTATACATAGGCACGTTGTGAAAAAATTGGGCGTAGTATTTCGACGTAATTTATTTCTTAGGTCTCGTGAACGCGCCCGATAAGAACAAATTAATTCGGTTTTTATCGCTATCGCGGCATTTATAATTTATCGAGGTCCTTTCTTCCCTAGCGTTCGGGGTTGAAATTCGAACATTTTCTACCCGTAGTCTTCATCAAATATTCACTGGCAGGAAGTGTCCCGACCGAACGCCCGCTGGAAGAAGTTCAACAATAAATTAGCGCCCCCGTCGACCCCTTTGCTTTGGCACGGATGTGAAGTGTCACCTGAATTTTTTATTTCTCATTACCGAACACGTCAGGTGCCGAGATATATCTTTCTTTACATTCCCGCGACTTTATGAATTCTTTTGTACGGGGGTGGCATAATTTAAATTCTCCAGTTTTATTAACGTGACAGAACAACAAGAGAATAATTCTTTCTATGTGGATCTTTCTATATAAGTGGATCTATTGTATTTCATCAATTTTAGACAAAAATACTGGTACGCAAGGGAAGAAAAAGCAGCGAAAGAGCGAATGTAAAGATAGGAGACGAAAGATTAGAAGAAGTAGCTGATTTTAGATATTTAGGAAGTCAGATAAGTCAGGACGGAAGGATTGTAGGGATATAAAGCAGAGGATAACGCAGAGTCAAGTCGCCTTCAATAAAAAAAAAGTCACTTCTATGCTCGCGAACGATTAATTTAGAAATTCGAAAAAGATGGTTAAGGTGTATGTTTGAAGAGCGGCGCTGTACGGGTGCGAAACATGGACGATGGGCGCCGCAGAAAAGAAAAGGTTAAAAGCATTCTAAATGTGGTGTTACAGGC